TCCCTCGACGTGCGCTGTTTGCTCACCGGGGATGTGGGTGGAAGAAGAGGAGAGGTGGCCAAGCGATGACTTGGTCCAGAGGAATGAAGTCCCTCACTTCGGAGCTAGCCTAGGTTGGAGCGTCACGGCTCCCTGGTTGGGGTCCAAAAGACGGTGAACACGTTTGGCTGGATACACTTGCTGACATGGCAAGGAGCCGACCTCTGTGGCGTTCGTGCTGTGAGTTTCTTTGTTCCTCCCCATCCTTTTAAGCCTCCCCCTCCATCTACGATCTCATTTCGTAGGGTAAAACATAATAATTTTTTCGTTTTGCCTAGTAGCTGGCTGGAAGCTTACCGGAACGATGCCTATCCGTTGCTGGTAGCTTAGCTGGCATGCAACTGTTGTATCTATTTTTCCTTTGTGTATTGTACTATATGTATGTATGTATTTCCTTCATGTATTGCGGCACAATAGCGGAGGTGTTTTCCCACCTCTAGCTGATGTGTATAATGAGGATGATGATGAGATAACTCAGCACCAAACACATTTTAAACAAGCAGTCCGACTAGAAGACGCCAGCAGACGCGACAATGAGCCATATCCTATAAAGTCTTGAGCCAAGCACAAGCGAGTCACGTGGACTCCAGCCTCGAAGGCGAGACGGCACCAAGTTTGGTCGTCAGTAACTTAATTTCCCGCCGCTGTTAACTTTTGTCCACCCCGAGTCTTGCACCACCCAACTAAACAAGAGGGTCCTCGGTAAGCGGCGACCGGGCAAACGTAGTACATGCCCAAGCCAATGCAAATTATTCTGTGATATCTGTTGGTCTAAGCAACTAGATTGGTTATCACCGTCTCGTACTCGCCTACGCACATCATCGTTGCGGATACGCTGGTGCCAGCCGACACCAGTAATGCTCCGCAGACAAGGATGATCGAAGACTTCAATGCGTCTCAGACCCTCACATCGAAGTGGCAAAGTTTCACCCCCACAGAGCAGGACGGCCCTCACTGTGGCCCTGTAAACATGAAATTTCAGACGGAGAAATTACTTTCTGTAGTCAAAAATGTCGCAGATTTAAGAAGATAGGTTTGGATTTCGCAATACTTGAACTGACTTCAGTGGTTATGCGCCCATCGTTGCTGATGCAGCTGTCAAGTGGACTGATTAATTACCTTGAATTCCTCGTTATCGAGGGTCAAGGGGTCGTCAATTGGCTGGTGATCCTGTAACAGCACTTTAAAGGTGAGAAGCGCATACCAAATAATAGGACCACTATGCAGTTTATTCAGGGTTGAATGGGTTTTCCGGACATCATTAAACAGCAAGACGATAACATGCGCATAGTCAAGATGAAGTGGCCTTTTACCAGGTAGCACCTTAATGCCTGCATCGTGAGATTCCGCACGGGAAGACACCACGACGTAGGTATCATAGTGAGCAAGAGGAGAGCAGAAACCAGACAAGAGGCAAACGGGAAGGTATTGGCGATGGATATAGAAGCCAGTGGTTGGAATGAGGAGAAAATTGAAAACTGATGCGAAATATATTGGGTGGACAACAAGGAGAAGTAGGCGTAAACCATTGAGATCCAGTTTCCTTCATGTTCATTTACTGTGCCGTCGTCTGTTGTATTTTCTGCAAGGGAACTCAGTGAAAGTAACAGGCCGATGATAGTGTGAGAAGTAGCCCATTCGTTGTTCGTAGGATTATTAGGCAGAAAATGCCACATGTAGAAACGCACAAAAGCGTAGAGCAATAGGACCAAGTTTTTCCAGATAAGTCAAGGGAAATAGATTATGGAGAAATTGAGAAACAGATAACAAAGAACCTGCAAGTGCCAATTGTCCTGAATGATGGTATGAGAAGTGACATGGACGTTATGAGACCAATGAATTGTCGACGGTGCACAAATCCGACAATTAGTTGGGCCGATTTAGTGGCGCTCAACTCGCCAGGGTGTCAAGCATGGTAAAGCTGATGAGAAAGTAGGGTTATTCGTTGGCGCCGTCTCATTTTCACTAACGAATAACTGGAATAAATCGTAATATTTGCAACTAAGTAGAGGACAAGTGAAAATGTGCACATCGAGACGTGATCTAGGTCAGTCGTTGTGTTGTGCTTGGAAAGTGAGGTTACTGTTTAATGGTGAATATCATCGGTAGCAGAGCGATTGGGCTGTGGTCATTGACGAATATCTTCATGACGAAATTGGTAACGATGGGAGTACACGCGGTAGCCACCCATCGATGACATCACGGCTGTAGGGAGGACAAATTTACTGCAGAAGAAAAGCAGTGATCAGAATGGGGTACTTGATCGCTTTAGACGGGTCTACGTAGTACAGTAGGTCACCCGTGAAAAATATTCAGTCACCCGGAAGCCACTCTCCGTTGTTTCGTTATCTAGAATGACGGATGGTTTCATCCAACTGCAAATTTGCAAAAAATCTGAAACATTCAGTGTAAGAACGTCCGAGGTCTCGCCCCATTCCTAACTGAATGTGCTATCTCAACTCGATGATATGCACAACCAGATCCGAAGGCGCATTGGATGAGGCAGTTAAGCTAGTTCAAAATATGCTGCGTGAAAATAAGTAGCATGTTAAATTTAGCTAAAACAGCCTTCAGGAAGAATTAGCATAGTAAGTTTTGGAAGTAGAAAAGAACGCGTTTCGAAGAGGACATAGTGTAGCGCCCTAAAAGGTAACGGCTATCTTTTATGTACAATTTAATTGTTGACCGATTGTACATTACTCCTTCTTGTTTTAATCTTCCTTACAACCGGCTCACCACCACAAATGCCTTGTAAGTTCCCGCGCTCACGTGTACGCTCTCGCCTCGCTTCATCCGTCCGCTTCTTATTGTAGCCCATCGAATACAATCCGCTGTGTCCGACTCCCATTGCCTTCTGATATCCGCGCTTACTTTCGCGCACCGCCTCGGACTAGTATTAACTAGTCCTACAAATTGGTGACCCCGATTCGCACGCGCGAATGCAATTTAATTGTTGACCGATTGTACATTACCCCTTTTTGTTTTAATCTTCCTTACAACCGGCTCACCACCACAAATGCCTTGTAAGTTCCCGCGCTCACGTGTACGCTCTCGCCTCGCTTCATCCGTCCGCTTCTTATTGTAGCCCATCGAATACAATCCGCTGTGTCCGACTCCCATTGCCTTCTGATATCCGCGCGTACTTTCGCGCACCGCCTCGGACTAGTATTAACTAATCCTACAATAGTCACCGAATGCTTAACCAGACGTCCTTCGGATTTCCCAGTAGCAGCACTAATGCTCAACAAAACACCTCGTTCGAACACAGAAGAGAAAAATGCTGCCCAGGATGATTGATACTATGATTGTTTATCAGTTCTCGGAAGCCTGTACCGAAAAGTAGAGGGATCGAACATTGTGGTATCTGATCGAACGCACAAATGAGTATTGTCCACGATGACCACGTCAAAATGGCACTGGGGCTATTACTGACTCTTTTTTGGCGTATGTTATCGACAATGGGACCCAAGTTGATATGAACCTTGATTCGACTGAGAGTTGAGCCTCCGTACAATGTGACAGTCGAATCAATCTGCGTTCAGTTGTTTCAAACGCTTTTGTATTCGCAAAAGAAGTTGAATCGGTCTACGCAGCTACCTTGCATGATCATATAATGAGATCAGATACGTTAGCTTGACAACGATAATGCGTGTTAAGGCGTAGATCACACGTTCGCCCATGACTCTGATCAACGTGGAACCAGTCAATATTCTGCACCCATTATAAAGTTACTTATTTGAGTGTAAGGAAAAAATGGTGGTTCATAGACAACAATTACTTGTAGCTGTTCTCTATTTGTGCAGTGTCCCTGGTACATCGGCGGGATGATCCACTGAGGCAGCACATAGTCCATCGATAAACAAACCTAGCAGTTACGGTATTATTTGATTGACAATTTCACCGACTGTAATAGATAGTTCCCAGTTGTGGCAATCGTTCGATTATTGACATCAAAACAGTGAAGAATTCATCCAAGTATCTAGTCGCTGAACTGTTATCATACTTTGGCAAATGGGTTGAAAAGTAGCCACAGACTTTTCAAATGAGCGCATAAGAATCGTCAGTGCATTGAATAACAATGATGATGTAATGAGCCTGATGAGTCGGTTCAGTGCAACTATGATCCGGGCACCAAAGCGCGGTGGATCCAGTTGCCAGGGCTCACATCGCAAAAGATAACAATAAATAACGACAGGATGGTAAGGTTAAAGGCAAAGAAAATGGAAATGTGTTAAACTAATCAGAATGGAATGAAAATTAACAATCAGGTGCAAGAAATCGAATGCAAGAACGCCACTGACTGTGCCATGTCTGATACGGTCTCCAACCATCGGTGCGGATCATCCCTAGGCCCCCATCCAAGTAGACGGCACGCACCCGCCTGACCAAGTCTCTGTCAATTGCTTCATGCCATTATGCCCGGTCATCAACTGGCCAACTCACACCTTCGCTCAACTTGGCATAATCACGGTGTATACCGAGGAAGGCGGTTGACAGTTATACGGAGGACATGACCTAACCAACGTAGATAGTTAAGAGTCAGCACAGTCGAATGAGGAACAAGAAAGCTTTTTTGCTGAAAACCAACTAGTGGACCTCAGCATTGTTCACTCGGTGTTCCCACCAAACGTGAGCAATACACTGTAAGCACCAGTGGTCAAACACGTTCAAGTCGCTCAATGTATTCGCCTCGAACTGGCCACGTCTCTGATCCATGCAGTAAGACCGGTCTTACCGCAGCGTTACACACCCTACCTTTCACTGACAGGCCTTGTGGGTGAATTGAGCGAGGTGAAAATTGTCACTGGACTGAGATGAAAGCCAGATACAAGACTAAAGAAATTCACTGCGACAGTCCATCCAAAGAGTCCATCACAAAGAGGGCTAACGAAATCTAAAAGCGCTACATCGATCACATATTCCGCTCGAGGTGAGATGGAAGCAAAGGGCCAGCGGGACTTGGACGGAACACTAGTCTGTTTATTTTCGGGACTGCAGTAGTATGAATAGTTTTGAGTAGAAAAAACCAGCATATGAGCACAAAAACAAAGAGGCGAGATGAAAATATCTGTATAAAAGGAGTATGTAGATTCGCAAATGTACCGAAATGCTGGTGGCGCTGAGGTTAGTCGGGCTAACAGAAAGTAGTTATAACATATCCTGAAAGTCTTCAGCCGCACTCGACTCATCAACAGGTGCGTAGCCCATTTGGATAAGACGCTGGGCGACCACAGCGCAAATTTTTGGGACATGGCTGTCGCCAGGCACAATTAAATCACTCGGCCGTTTGTAATAAGATAAGTATCCGGTAATGAACACCCGATCACCAAGTCGGAGACGTTTGGCTCTGGCCAAAACCACAGGATTGAAGATATGAACTCGGCAGGAGGAGGTTTTGATATTCTCAGTCGCCTCCATTGATTGATCAGTTGGAGTAAAGCGAAGACGGCGCATTCGAGTACGTACAAACATAACGCCCCATTCGCGTGTAGGATTGCTTGACATGGGAAAGAACTAGGGAAGGAAAAATAAAAGAGGTAGTTAACAAGCAAATAGGTGCAGATGGATTAAGAGGATAGTGTGAATGGATCAGTGATAAAATAGGAATCCAGAGGTTACAACACTAAGGATACTATGCGATTTCAAAAGATGGGACAGAGAATTAACTGTCATGCAAGAAAGCGTGGTTATCCATCGACTGGGATATTGTCAGAACTATAAAGCAGATAAGAGCGGTGGCCTGATCCTGTTAAGTAAGACCGAGATTCAGAGAAGGCTGTTGGTAAGGAGAAACAAAAACGGATCTTTCACGGTGAAAGGACAATACTGTACAGCGTAGGTTGAGACAAACCACTCGGTACGACCAGGAGGGCAGTGTAGGGAATAAAGGCGAGCAACACCGACTCTGAGATGACGGCGCATGGTGCGAGGGTGCTGATCGACCGAGCGAGCGGAACTGACGGAGCCAGCAGATGGAAAGCTAATCAGTGTCACCGGCGCAAGTTGACCACACTTGCACGGACTGGATGAACAGCTCAAATATGAGTTGGGGCATTGTGAACAAAGCGCAACTTTGTTTAAACCAAGACAAGATTAGTCCAGACAGCATCAAATGAATGACGAGCGCGTCAATGAAATCAGGCAGGTGGTTAGCGAGAGTCAGCCAGTGAAAGTGCGTTACAGTAAAATAGTGGTCCAAAGTTTCGCACAGCACAAAAGGACTCTTTGTTCTTTAATAACAGATTTCCGCACTGCGAGCCAGTCCTCATTTCTGAGTTTCAGACGGCAAGTTCGGCAGCCAGAATGCTCGTCGCGATGAGGCCAGCGCTGAGACACAGATCAGAGGCATCGCCAGGCAGTAGTGGAGATAGTAAAGTGTGTCACCTGTGAGTATATGCGCCTATGAAGTGATGAAGATGCATGGTTACCGCCAAATAACAGTTAGTGACAGTCGAAATGGAGACGTGTAAAATATTCAATTCATGCTCCTCGCACGTACTGATTGACGACACTAAAGTTGGACTCATGAAGTCCTAAAAACTATCCAAATGTATGAGTATATGAGTTATGAAGCTTACACAAAGCTGTATCGTGTCGTTTGCGTTCCGTTTTCTGAATACACGCTAACATATGAGCCACATCAGTTTATAGAGGTGTTCCCTGACATTGACAGTTCTAAAATATCGTGGACGTCATTGTATTAGATTAGCTGATCCTTGATCCGTTGGCTGTCCGTGAGCGGGTGTCACTAATTTTCAACAGGGGACGATTTCACATTAGTATTCCAATCGCAATGGGTAACCCAAATTAACTGAATTTGTTTATGGGTTGGTTACGGTGGTTCCATTCGCCAACCCTAAGCTTGCGAATCAGTCATTAGCAATAACATTTGGTTAGGAAGAAAGTGTGACTGTTGGTTGATGCTCCCGTTGTGTGCTGAATGTGATAGCCAATTTAGACCTGGACAATGATATGTCAGAAGTGCATCTGGCTCTTTGTGAATCGACCCTATCATGAATAGGGAGTGGAAGCAGCAAAATGCTCGTAATGTAGATAAAGTCCCCATTATCTTGGGATAATGTCCTCTAACTTACTCTAGAAATGAAGGTGATGTTAGGGAAACACCAGATTGAAGATACGAATACCGTACATCGAGTGCAGTTGAATGAAATGACCACACCCGTGGCAAGCGCGTCGCCACCGTTCTCAAGCAAAGGTGAGGTTGGACCATCGGTAACAGGTGTTTTGTTTGACCTTAAACGTTCGCAACGGACTCATATGATGCTGGAGTGTGACATGTCAATAGTCTGGGTATGTTCGTAATACTCGGACGAATTGCAGTTCAAAATGTCTCCCCAGTTTAAATATGCATTAACCGTTCAGCTTCTGTACCACCAAATAAATTTCGCCTAAAACTTGTGCTGTGAGCACAATGGAACAGTACTCAATTTCTCCAAACGGCCATTCGCATTGGTTCCTGCGATCCACCAACATTTCAGATAAATAGGAAATAGCATTTTATACATCATTAAACGTGTCATCTATAGGTGGAAAACATATAAGCTATTGTGCACCTAACATAGCTAGGTGCGTTACAGGATGATGGGTGAAATGATTGAAGCCGATCAGAAGATGGAACTATCTTCTAGGTCTCGCTTAAACGCTTTTGGTGTCCAAATCCAAGTGAACAAGTTGTTATAGAAGCCTTGTTTAGTGTGCAGCGGTGATATAAAATAGTATGTTGTCCACCGAGTCGTCGGAAAAGTGAGTTGTCCCATAGCTGGCTAACCGAACAACCTCCACGTGGTGCCAGCTGGGTGGTTCGGGTTAATCCCGTTCCAGCGAATAGTTAGGCGGCAGTGTTTCAGGATGTGGTGGGTTTTTGTCTGGCAAGCGTTCTCCCTACAAAAAGATACAAAGGTCCGTTCAATAATACTGCGACGTTGCGGATGTGATTTCAAAAACGTCATCATATTCGAAGAGTTCTATTGATCCCTTCATGCGATGGCGAACACAGCAAACAAACTCACGAATTTAGTCACAATGCCCACTAACACATACACGTACACAAATACAGACACGCAAATCCAGTATGTTACTGGTCACTATGTCATATTTTATACAACTACCGACCATAAACAAGTCAGCCTACAAATTACCACACTACGCTACATCCACATAGACGCAAACCCTTGCAACTTCACCCTTGATATTTTCCTCACATGTACTTTCCCCATTTATGCACGCAACACAATGTGCCTACTGCGAAACATTGCCTGTAAAACTTGGATCATGCCTGATAAGGCGTGCCTCGTTGCTATCCAGAATAAACTATTTATTTAACAGGCGCAGAGGAACAGTGCTTAAGATCAGATGCACGAGCAGGCGTCTGTCTAAGAAGATAGTGGGATACTGTCCTGTTCCTGTTAAGGATGTCCAAAGAATAAGGTTCGGATCGAGTACGCCTTCAAAGTAGTTTACACCGTCCGGAAACGCAATCCGGAAGAATTCAGGAAACGCCTGTTGGTCACTGTCAAAGCAAGCAGATTACTGCAATCAAAATTATGAAAACAGAGGACGCTTGTGCAAACTCTCACCCCACCATGGCCAGAACAATGGACTGTGTCGGTATCTAATAGTGGCCGCTGCTAACTGTGATCTTTGTGGCCACACCAACTAATTCATCCTTGCTTTGTATTTGAATGGGTGTGTAGGCGTGTGATGTCTACGACCTGATTGGATTGACTGAGCTATCGAGTAGCTTCACTGTGATAAAACAAATCGCTCCCTCAGTTTTAGGTACCTTCTGTGTTTTCTAGACCCTTCTTATAAATGTAAATACCTCTTTTAAGTACATAATCCTAACTGTCAGACTGCTAACAAGTTGCGCTGCTATTCCAGAATTAGCACCAGAGATGGAGTTATGGCTGTGTAGTTCATAAACGAAAGTAGTAATAGAAAGTGGGAACAGATAGCGCAGAATCAGAAAGAGGAAAAAAAACCTGTGGGATGTCATTAAGCAATGGGAAGTATCGGGGATGGGTACAGGAAGCTTCCGTGACAAGTTACTAGGTAACACGTAACACTGCGGACAGACAGTATCGACCAAAACAAGGACGGCTATGGAGATTATAAAGAGCATAGTGACCGGGTATCTGTATGTGCGGAGCTAATCAAATGCAAGACACGGTGCAAATGTTTCACCAATACATTGGAGCCGAAGCCAGTTTAAATACTGGTGAGCATACCCATTCTAAGACCATTAAGTCACCGAGTTACGAGGCATAACGTTCCATAGACGGGAGCGATGGTTGATATCCTCCGAGCAGAGTAACCATCGACGGATCGTTATAAATCATCACAGACAGTAAAAAGCCTTCTGGCGTCAGTCACAGTGTATGGTTTAAAAATTAGTTCTTATAATGAAGTGAGTCAGTTAAAAACGTCGACAGCGAGTCAACTGAATACCACTTCGAGATGCTCAAGCCAAAGTTCCAATTGACTGATCAAAGAACGCAGCAGTATCTGTTCGCCCACTGTAGCACTCCTCAGATCAGTGTTCAGAAGGCATATGGTCGAAACAGGAACCACTAACATAATCAAAAAACCCGTTGGCAGACCTGTTTTAGTCAGCAGATGATGGAAGACACGGCACACAAAAATTGGCAAGAGGACGGGTTAGAGCTGTAACAAGACCGGATACACGACACAAGTACTCGCAATCAATTAGCGTTGTGGTCGATCAGCTTGTTGTGTGGGCTATAGTGGACATTCTAGCTAGATGGCTAAGGGAAGTGTGTAGCGCCGCAGTGAGGTTAAGAAAATCCCAGTTGCATGTTGAAGGCATGGGGAGGAACCGAGTAAGGTCATCGATACCTAAGATGTTAGAGAGTAGAAGAGGGAATTATTGTGTTTTGAGAAAACTCGTCACAGCTAGATATGTGGTGACTGTTTGGTTGGGTCTAGTCGCGACGAATCTTCCCGAAAACAGATCACAGGTTTTACCGCTCTTGGTCTTTTCCAACTCTGTCATATGACGATTCTTTCCGGTGGTTCAAGGCAATTGGGACCACAGTTCCACAAAGAGACTGAATAGCATCAGGTAGTGAGGACTCAATGGTTAGTGACTAAATGGACAATTAACTGAGTGTGCTACCATAATCTCTAGAAAGCAGTCGGAGGATTTAATTCGCTTAGTTTATACAGCCGTGCAGCCAGGAAACCTAAACGAATCGGTAAAGACTGACGGCATTAATGATGCGGCTAGTATGAGCAGATGTGGATATGGCGGGCCAAATCCGGTGCGCCTGTGGTAATGGGAAGAAAACTGTTTGGAGAAATTACAAATCTAAACAAAAAGTGAACTCTAAATATAGAAACTGATATCAGTATGCATGGATTCAGATTGACTGGAAGTTGCCAGGTAATCAAGCCGAGACAGTACTTAAACAAAATGAAACTCTTTTCGATAAATCTCCTAAGGCATTTACAATTATAAAATGGAAAAGCACAAA